TCATGAACAAAGTAGTTTGGGATAGCAGGCATGCTTTCTCTCCTTTTAAGAACATTATTAATCACTTTCCAAGTACCCCTGATATTATGTTTTTGCTCTTCAAATAAAGTATCAAAGTAGTCCTTTTTGCTCTTTCTTATTATGCTTATCAGCTTGTTTTTGTACTTTTTGTACTTAATTTCAGATTCCATTGTCCTGAGTTGTAAAAACTTTTTATATAATACATTTTTCTTTTTGCATGCGTTTTCTAGCCCTCTAGTTATCCACGGCTTTTTGACAACATTTAGATAAGTCTTTACCTCTTTAAGTGGGCAGTTTTTATTGTATATTGCCAAAAAACTGGACAAGAAGGATTCATATGCATAATTTGGGTTAGTCTGTGAATACACGTTCTCCCAGTTCATTTTGTCCAGATCTTCACTAATATTATTTAATCTTCCTGGTGTTAAACGACGTGTTAGTTTGTATTCTGGCTTGTAAGTTTGACTTTCAAAAGTGTAATTTTGGTAGACTGCGAATACTGGAAGGTGGTCACTTATATCACTTATCAGCAAGCCACCGACTATTTTACCTTCAATCTTACTAGTATATATGTTATCAATCAAGGTAGTGGTGTCTGTCGTTATCCTGCTTGGTTTGTCTATAATTGGTAGGAGGGAATTGCAATACATCATATTAATAAAATCGGAGGTCTTTTCATGAGTTGGTGCATTCAGTAGATTTATATTAAAATCTCCACATATTATTTGGTCTTTAGTAGTAGGCCCATTGGCATTGAGCAAATGATTCACTTTTTCAGTAAATACATCTATGGGGGATCCTGGAGTTCTGTATACACAGGTAACTTGTATATTTTTGAATTGCTTTGATTCAAGTTCAACAGTAACACATTCAAATACATTTTCTACAGCTATTGATTTATTTTTAACTAATTTAAAGTTCAGTGTTGAGTCAACGTAGATAGCAACACCCCCACCTTTTCTGTCTTTTCTATGTATTGTGTGTAGCTCATACCCTTCCATTTGCATTCCACTAATTTTCCCATTATCCAGCCATGTTTCAGATACTGCTATGATACTAAATTTATCGAATAATTGCAGCAGGTCCCTAATTTTTGTCATATTTTTCCAAAGACTCCTGCTATTTATATGTATTACAGACAAAGAGCATCAAGAGACGATCAGAACACACTAGAGTCATGACATGGATACACTGGGACCTTGTGACTGTGAGGGCCAGATAGTTTGTCTTCAGCTGCGAAGGCCATAGTTATCTATCCACCAGAGTATGTACTAAATTCCATTCTTCTCTCGCTCACAACTTGGTGCTATATGTCGCTAGACCACAGCTTGAGAAACATTTTTTGCATTGTCGCTAGCGTCCTCCCAGCTTGGCTCGCAAAACATAAAGATGGCAGAAAGGGAGTTAATTAACTTTTGGCAGATGTGCACGCATAGGTTGTTTTGTTTATTAAATGTTTCCCCGGCACCATTACCACATTCTGGATGCTTGGAGAATTTTTTTTTTTTTTTTTTTTTTGTGGAGACAAACAGAGAGCCCAAAATTGCATTCCGACATATGGTGCATGTTTGAATAACTAACAGCAACTCTAGCAAAGAGAGACAATGCATTCACAAGGCACAAGTGTTTCCTCAAACAAGGAAGGAAACATTAAATCTGAATATAAATACAGAAGAACATGAATAAAAGACAAATAAAAAGCAAAGGCAATATCCCATCAGTTGCATGCACAGCCAAAAGACACTGGTTTTATTCTGGATTTAAACATACTCAGCACAGAAGCTTCTCAACAAGACTCAGTCCCAGCAGGAGGCCGGCCCCTGTGCTCCTCAGGTCATACAGAAATAACGTGCAGTATGTATGTGATGTAATATCGTCCGTTTAACTCATTTCTAGCATTCAAAACAGTTTAGGGTCAATCACGTGGAAGTATTTTAGATTCTTAGATCAGCGTTTTCAGTGACTAAGAAAACAGCCCACACTCAGCCAATCAGCTGTCAGCGTGTAAAATACAAAATGTGTTCATGTGAGATAAAGACATCATGCTGTGGTCGGATTTATTCACACAATGTTACTGAGACATGGCTCCTTCTGTTGGGGCAAAAAACAAGATTGTATGAAAAGGTACAGCAGCCATCTCTGAGCCACAGGAAGCCAGTGCAGAGACAGGAATGATACTTTTGTTTGTTCAATAAATAGACAATTCTTTACTAATTCAGTCATCTGTTTTTACGCATGAAGTGACAGACTGACTGACTGTGAGCTGGAGATGTTTAGTCAGTGAAGGCACAGGAGGAGACTGGGAAACTGCTCCCATCAACTAGTTCAACTTCAACTTATATGCAAAATGAACATATGACAGGCTCATAAGATAACATAAGATACTAGCTAGCACTCCTCCTGTCCATCACATCCTCCACATAGTCCAGGGGCCTCCTGCATGTCCCTCACCTCCTCCACAGAGTCCAGGGAGCAGCCCAGAGCAGCTTGTTCAGTCATTGCATGCAAAGTGAGATATACCAAGCCATAATCATCAGAATTATAATATTAAAGTCCCATTCACTTTGCATGTAATAAGTCTATGTCATAAATTAGTCTCACGTTTTAGGTTAAAATACAGAAGTAAATGAACTTTTGAACAATATGTAAGGGATAATGTATAGTACGCAGGTCATTATCGGAAAATAAGTACCGACAGGGTGAAGCAGACCCCGACGCGCACTCTTAGGAATGCCGTAAGGTCTTTTTAATGACCGAAAATAAAATACTTCCCCGTGGCTATGGGCGTAATAGTTAGGCAAGCAACTTCCGAACAAGAACGAAATGTGTCCTAAAATATCCCGGAATCGGCTTCTGGGTTTTTCGCGACCGCTTTTTCTCACATTTAAACAGTATTTTTGTCATGAAAATCTGAACAGATACTTCTGAAAACCTCCGTGCATGTGTATTAAGAATGTATATGTCTAATTTATTCTCCGATTAACATTTAAATGTGTTGATTGATTGGTATTTGCGTTTATTGAGCGTGGCTAGCGACGAAGTGGCCGGAACTACTTGCGGAGTAATCTACACATCTGAATCACAAGCAGAGGTTGCGTTGCCAAAGGGCAGCGGTCATTATTGTTTTGAGAGGTCCGTTATCAAGAAATAATGACCGATAGAACGTTTTGAAATTACATTCAAATCAATGGAGCGTTCTACTGCTGCTGCGAGGAGCCGTGTAATAATCACATTTATTGAGTTTTATATAGTTTTATCCTTATATACAGTATGATGACATTGTCGCATGCAAGATGTGTCCCAGTCAAACTTTTATCCAACATGATCAGACACATACTGTATATAGATACCTAGGATCTACTCAGTGTATGTGGCCTGACCCATATCAGAGACTGAGAGCTGCAGGGAGTGTGTGAGTGCGGTTGGAGCTCTGTTTTGTTCCTGGTGAGCGATTGTGGTCCTGACTCACAAGTGGAGGAGCAGCCACTCAAAACCCCACACTCATTATTCAATTCTATTATTGCCACGACCTACTGCTGCTAACGGAGTATTTGCCAAAGAGACTCTTTTATATCGGCCCCTGCGCTTCATGCATCCTCAGACACGACATGTTGGAAAGTGTTTTAGGTGGTGAAATGAATAGAATTTCAATTTAATGAGAATCAATAGCTGCTAAATGACAGAGATGAGGTGTGGATTTTTCACTAACCCACTCTCTATGGACTTTTAAGAGCAAATAATATCTTAGTGTATTTCGTTCCACAATAAAAGGTTTATTATGAAATGTTATTGTGGAAGTTGTTGAGCAAAGTTCACATAAAAACATGATTTACTCAAATGTTGCTGTTTTTCTCGTTGGTCCATGCACAATGAAGTATAAATGCAAATATGGAAAATCCCAATAAAATACATTTCACTGTAATGGTTAAAGCGGTTCACAATTAGGCAAAAAATCTTCAATATTTCCCAAATGGTTTTAATTATTGTTACTAATGGCAACCATAAGTGCTATTATGAGTCACCACAGACAGGTAAAAATATTGTTTAAAAGTCCATTTACTTCTGAAGAGACATATTCAACCTCACTGTTTGAAGGAGAGGTTTCGCGGGTCCTTCCTCTCTGCTGCTGTCAGACTGTACAACGATATTTCTGTCATTCACTGAAGTCACTTTACCGGCTGCTACTATTATTATATTTTATTATCTTATTACTTATTATTTAATTATTGAAATGTTATTATATATTATCTTAACTAATAGATCCTGTTTGTAAATGTGGTTTTACTGCAAATGGCAAATAAATGAATCTGAATCTGATGTGAGCAATCTGAGTGCTCTCATTGCCTACTTTTTTATTCTGCTGTAATGTGCACAACAATGACGTTTCCCCATAAGGGCTATGTCTTATCTTATCTCATTGTATCTCATCTGATCATTCAGTATCTTATCTTATTTTAAATCCACTTACAATGTGAAACTAATATATGTTAAAAATAATTACACGCAGATATGGACTTACTAGGCAAAATGATCACAAAGGCATAAGTCACTTTAGAGGTATTGGGTCTATATCATTAATTGATATCAAATTTTAAAAGAAATGAATGAACTTTTTCAATGTTATTATAATCTTCACCTTTGATGAAATATCCACGGACATTTTTAATGCGTTTTCCAAACCCCATGGATATTTTAGAGTCTCCTTTTCCCCCTTTTTTCTTCTTTCCTTGTGTGAAACTATGAAAAAAAAGTGTTCTCAAGTGTAACTATAATGAATCTCTTTGCTCTGTGCGTTCTCCAAAACTCCACATGATTCTGTTTGACACTAAAACACTGAAGCATGTCTCCTCAATCTGCTCTTACTTACTTTTTCAAGGACGCTTTCTTGTCACGTCCTTTGATCTAATAAAGAGAAATACATATTCTGTTTGTATATTTCAGATCTCCCGCTGTCTGCAATACAAAGCTGATGCTCCACTTCAAAGCCCACCGGCATGAGGCGATAGGCGGCCTGACTGCGGGCACCCCGGGGAGTCAATTGGCGCCCTAGGACAGCCTCGTTCTCGCTCTCTCTCTGTGGTGTCCCGGCTGAGGAAGGTGTGGCGGGGGGACTGTGCTGATCGCTGACAGCCATGATGTGAGGAGGCCCTCTGCAGAGACCACTGGGGAGGCTCTCGCTCCTCCATGGCTACAGCTCCACCCACGCCGAGCCGCTGAGGTGAGGGTCCCGCTTCCCCCTTACCGCCGCTGCTGCTGCTGTTTCAAAGTCTGTTTCAAGTGGAAGTCAAGTGGCATTTATGATGAAGAGTGAAAGGAGTGTGAATGTGCAAAAGGATCTGTTTGTTTGCTGTTAGAAGCTGGGATGGAGCCCAAAGTTTAAGCTTGAGTAAGTTTGAAACTACGAATATACATATAGCGCTTTTCACAGACCAGAGTCACAAAGCACTTTATAATTTCCTCTCACTCCACATATGGGAGCAGAGGTGCATGCCAGGACTATTGTACATGGATATAGTGGTAGGGGAAACCGGAGCACCTGGAGGAAACCAGAGCAGACACAGGGAGAACATCCAAACTCCACACAGAAAGATCTGGAGGTCGAATCGAACCCAGGAGCTCCAGCGCTAACCACTGCGGCACTTTTTTTTTTTTTTAAGTGTTCCTTTCAAAGCTGTTTGGTTCTGTTTCACATTTATTTTTGGCCTGTGTCACATCTTCAGAACAGCTTTTTCAATGATAAAGAGAGTCCCAGACAGTTTTCTATAAGACAGCGTGTCGTGGTATGCTTTGTTTACACAATTTGATGTGTGGTTTCAAAATTAGATACTCCACCTTCAATAAGAGTATTTTGTCACGGACCTTACCCCACTATCGATCAGTCAATGTTTTTAAGAGATTAAAAACATAAAAATAGCTCTAAAATAAAGATGTGGCCCAAAGTAAACCCCCATTGAATAGAGAAAACCACAGGAAGCATTAGCATAGAAACTTTGGATGGATGAACTTGTTTGATAAGAAAACATAGCATAAGTGTGTCTCGTTTAATGGTCTGAAGAAAGAAAAATCATTGTAAGCAGAATCATTGCTATCGATCGTTGCATGTGTTGTGTTGCCGAGTCAGAAATGGTAACTTGAATTCAGAAAAGATATAAATGCTCAAAGATGCCAAAACATGTAGTTATCGTCTTCCCAGCTATACTCATAACCAACAATATGTGGCACCATGAAACTCATATATTCAGTTAATTGTGGTCATCATCATCATCATCATCGAACTTTATTACAGACTCATGGTCCAGTATAACACATAATCACAGCAATACTATGCAAGAATGAAGATCATTTTGGATTTTTCAATTTATTTGATTTGATAACTGAATATACTGTAGAAGCATGAAAAGCACGGACAGTTACAGGTTTTCAGAGTTTTTTTGAGCTCCAAAACGTCTGCGGTTTTCAGTATTGAGAAAAGTAATCTCAGGTGGTACAAAAGTGGACCGGAAACTGATGCAATTGAGATCCATGGACTGACCTGGTTTCAGTGCTTCTCCCACTGACAGGCCGTGAACACACACACACACTCTCAGTCTCAGCTCGGTCTGATTAAAAGTGTGAGTGACAGCACAAGAATACACACACAGTGAAGCCATAACGACCTGTGTAATTGGATAGGAGAGATGACAAGAGTCCGATTGCTTTTCTACACACGAATCCACGTTCCAATGTATGTGTACTCCAGGAATATCTAATTAAACGTGAATGAGTTGTGTCGAGAATGGACAGTTTTACTCTTGTGATTAGCAGGTGTCATCCAAGTGCTGCTGTTGTGTCTTAAAATTGTGTTGTCTGTGAGATGTATGTAAGTGTGTGAGGTGTGGTTGTAAAGTTCTGGCCTCATAATGCTGTATGTGTGTTCATTCTCAACAAGAAGGTCCTGGGTTTGAATCCTGATCGACACTACTGAGTGTAGTTGGTAGGTTATCCTTGTGTCTCCAGTTTCCTCCAGGTGCTCCGGTGTCTGAAAAAGAGAATTTATATCATATCAGCTGTACTTTCCTGGTTAAATTATTGTCATGAAAATTAACCAATTAAATTATAATTGCCGCGACCCGGCAACGGATAAAGCGGAAGAAAATGGATGGATGGATGGATGGATAAATTATAATAACTGAGAATGATAATGTGGTTGCATCAAAAAGAGGATCAGAAGACATTGTTTCTTTTCCTAGAGCAAAAACGCCAGTGCAACACTTTCGAACCATCCCCCTCAGATTCAGAAAATGAAATTGGTGAGCAAAGTAAACAAGGACAGCAAGAGATCAATATCTTATCAGGTGTAAGACAATATGAATTGAGAGAGATTGCTGCAGTTTTATTGTAAACATCTTTGAGGTTTCCCGTGTCATTTATTCTCATTTAGAGGAGTCTATCGTCCAATAGTCAAAGTCTGTGAGAAGTTTCCCTGCCCTTCAAATCACTTTGGACGACTTTCAGTACATTAAACCACATTCACTCTCTTTGCCCCATAACCGCTCGCCATCACATTGAACTTCTGCATTTTTGATCTTACCCCTGTTTTTCCAGAGGATTCCGGGTCCAACAGTTCATATCTGGCCCGCTGGCTTGGTACTGAAACATTTATTAGCCGATACCTGGACACTCACCTCTGTTAATGAATAATTTACCACCGCTTAATACCCTACATTTTTCCTTCTGAGATTGTGTCTGGGTTTGTTTTCGCCGTCCCTATTGAAATGCATATGACTGCGGAATCCATTTCTCTCCATTGTCTGAGCTGTGTGTGCGACTGGCCTGTGCTATAACTGCAATAGATGCCACGCTAACAGTGCCAGTTGAAATTCTCTGTGCAATTCTGCTGCGGAAAGACAGCTGTGTCATTATGTATTTTCTCTCCACGAAGTCTAACTCAATCTTTTTCTCCCTCTCTCTCTCCTCCCCTTCGCAGAATCCCTCACCGCAGTGTAGCACATGGATTTCAAGACTTCAAATGAAGAGGTTGGTGTGATCCGATCAATATGACAGAGGATAGAAAATAATTATCTCAAGTGTGAGGGCCCTTGTCACTTGTACACTTGGCATCTAGAAAGAGGGAAAGCATTCACAGACAAAGGGGTAATGGAAGACGCTCGGCTGCTTGAGTTTCTTAAAGGATACAGTGCTACAGTTACTCTTGCAGTTACAAATTGACAGCAGGAGTATCAAGCTTTTCAAATGCACTTACAATAAAAATAATGATAATTCAATAATAATATTTGTTTTCAACCTTCAATATTCTGCTTTTTGGTTGTTGTTTTTTCAATATCTTTGGCAGATTTAAATAATACCAATTGTTTGTATATATTACCAAACTAATGAGTTCATGATTGGGGAAAAAGTAAACATCGTGGATGATAAAATTGTGAATTCAATCTCAGTCTTATCTATCGAGACATCATCAGGGGTTTGAGCAGTAGGTACAGCAGAGACCTGTGTAACATTTTTCAAAGTCATTGTAATCTGAAATCTCATTTTCCTAAATATAGTCTTTAGCACCAACTGTGTTAGACTCGAAGTTGAAAATGGATCCTAATTTGGTTCCATAATGATCTGTTTGATCACAGTGAAGTTTCGGAAAAGGAATATTCAAAGTAGCACTTTCTGTAGTTGGCTCTCCGACAAGAGTTCAAAGAGTTTGATATGTTTCTGTTTCATCAGTGGCTCCGGTCCTGCTCCGTGCTCAGGCTCCACAGGAGAGCTCTGAAACAGACCTGTTATTCCACCGTGATAATCCTGTTTGTATGCACCAGTGTGTACTCATACTCATATACTGTACATATATCAAATGCATTTGCATGATTCTAGAAGGTGACATGCGGCTCTTTTGCATCAAAATTGAATATTTATGTACATTGTGAGTCACTGGAGCTTGTCTGCGTTTCATAAATGTTCTGTGTGTTATTCCTTTTTCTCGCTGACACATTTGAAATCATGAAAACAAAGCGATGTAAAGCCTCAAAGAAAACATCAATATCAGACTGACACAGGCTGCAAAAATACAGTTGATTATTTTACAACATGAAACAGCGGCAATCTGCCGCGGCTCAGAGCGCACCGTGAATAGAAATGTGCTCCATGTGAGAATGGTACTGGAAGTTTGGCCAAAGGAAGTTTGGATTCACATTCTATTGTAGCTAAAATATGGAACAGTGTTCCTGAAAATGTAAGACAATGCTAGTTACCATAGCAACACACTGTTTATTTGCAGCATTTAGCATTTACTCTTTCACCAAACTGCTTTTTTCTGTATTTCAGTTATATTCACATGTTTTAGCAAACCGTATAATCTTCTTACTTTTAATAAAACTGGTGTAAAGCTGACTCACTTTTTTAAGATTTTCTGAATCCCATTGATTTGAATTTTGTGGTAATTTCAGAATGCTGGAAGAATGTTTGTAATTGGCCTCATTCTGAAACATTTTGGTCAGGCGTGCAGGTTTAAAGTGGCCGATAGTTGTTGGGAAAGTATGAAAGTATAAATTTATATATAAACCTTAAACAAGAAGAGAAGCAGCATCGTGATCATTCTTGCTGTGCCAAAAACAGAACACTACACTGTAAAAAAGAGGTACTTTGAGAAAATTGAATTGACAGAAATCCAATTGTCCCTAACAAAACCAATTACCACCGTGACACGAGGACGTTTACATCCACATTAGCGGCCGCTTTTAGTGAATATTTCTTTGCCCTTGCCCTTTCATTCCACGCCACCTTCCAAGACCCACAGGAAATCACAACTTTAAAAACAATATGAAATGTGCAAATTTACATGGTGGGTACTCCGAATTATTAGCAAAGCACCCTATTAGCATGCACATCCAATGTGATTGGAGCCCTGAAGCAGCGAGAGGGACGCTTTTGGGACCGGAGCAAAATAGATTCACGGACGAGGCCAATTAGGCACAATACACATATTACTACGGGTCAAGCATGCTTCTGACACATTTATGTAGATGCTGTGGCCCCATTTTGTTTTGCTAATGACCGGCGAGATTGAGCCTGGTATTAATCATAGGGGCCTAGATGAATATATATCATGCTAGCTTTTTGCTGGTGCCACAGTCTCCCCCCCTCATTACCGCTACATACAAACACGCAGCTCTCTCCATTGAGTGCCTTCGTGTCCGAGCCGTGGCTGAGGCGTCTCCAGGAATAGCCGGGGCCACGAGACGCTCTTGTTAAAGTATAGGAGCTGGGAGGGTTGGGGGGGCTGGTGGCGTATACCAGGGCGACGGAGGATGTTGACATTGGTGGCTTGTTTCTCTTATTAGCAGTCTCGTCAGGTGAAGGTGCTTCTTTTGTTCCCGAGCCTTTTAAGTCAAGGACAGGGCTGGCATCGCAATTAACCGGGGAGGCAAAGGATTCGTCAGATGCAAATGAATGCGCATTGGGCGGTTGGCAGTGGTTTGTTATCGCTACTCGCTATGACTTGTAGTTTGTCGGATCTTGTTGGTAATTTTTCTCCCAGCCACAAGATTTTACTTATTTTTGACAGATTAAGCAAACTTTACATAACAAGCCACATGGACGCAACGCACACACATAATCCTACACACTCACGCACACAGGTAAAGACATGAACCATCATACAAAGAAAAAAACTAGAAAAAAAAACATAAAAGCAGTTCTATTTATACATTCAAAAAAAAGATGGAATCACTTTTGCATTTTCCCATAACTTGAGTTTTTTGCTGACAAACAAACGGACAAACGCTGGTGGTCACTTTACCTCCTGAGCGGCGCTAATAAGCCTAAATACAACAAAATATGGCAAACAAAGCAGTTGAAAGAAGACAAAATTAGATTACATTACAAGATTACAGATGGAAACATATTAGTAATAAAGAAAATGCGTGCTCAAAAATACTATGTTCAATCAATGCTTTTGACAGTTATTATGTGCATGTGAGATATATGGTGGACCCAGGAAAATGAGTTGTTAGAAAACCACTAAACCATGTAACATACTGTCCCTAACCAGGATAACAAATATATAATGGAATTCATTGTAATTGGGACTGACCATTTTTATTTTTTATTTTGATTTGGTAACTTGCATGACTCATTTCTTAAGCTTTTATTTATATACCGCCTTTCACAGACCAGAGTCACAAAGCGGTTTACAATTGTTATTTTTTGGGCACTTGTCCTCTCACTCCACACAGAGATGGGAGCCGGGTCGCCGAACAGGAGGCGCATGCCAGACCTATTGAACATGTTTTTAGTGGTAGGGGAAACCGGAGTACCCGGAGGAAACCTACGCAGACACGGGGAGAACATGCAAACTCCACTCAGAAAGGCCCTTGTCCGGCCGGGATTCGAACCAAGGACCTTCTTGCTGAGAAGGACCTTCTTTCTTGGTAACTTGAATGACAAAAACAAAACAGTTCAAAAGAAAGTCAGCAAACACTTAATTTGTCTTCTAAATGTATACACTTCATCTTCTAAATTTATAAACCATGCTACGAGTTAGAGACTCATTTTATAGATTAATTATTCTTTTATCTTGTGCTTTGTGCTCCTCATTCATAATGTCTGTAACTTGCGATGCAACACTGAAATTTCCCCACTGTGGGACAAATAAAGAATCTCTTAATCTTAATAAATTTCCTTTATGGTTTTTTTATTTGCAGCTGATTTGGCAACAGCTTGTTTTGACCTCATGTGAGCCGCCATTCACTGTAGATGCCATGTTTACTCTATATTGGATTTTCACATCAATAAAATGTACCAAAGAAAGGGCGGTTGTTTACATCCACATGATTTTCATAAACATGACCCACGTCCCCAGACACGGGGAAAGCATCCGATGGCGTTTGTAACTTTGATTTATTCTTAATTATAAAAACATTGGATGTGACGGACAAGTTGTTTATGTTATCATCTGGTCTTTCCATTCCCCAGACTCTAATCATCCAATCATAGAGCGGTACTTTTGATGAGCGACTGCAAACCACAGAGGGACAATCCTGGTAAAGTAAAGGTCATTGAAATACAGAATAAAAATAATACATTTAATAATTCATAATTTCTTTCTGTATTTCAATCAATCAATCAATCAAAGTTTATTTGTAGAGCGCCTTTCATGCACAGGGCAACACAAAGCGCTTCACAGTCCACATCACAAATCATCACATAAAACAAACACCAGAATCACAATTAAAACATTAAAATCACACAAAAGATTAAAACACAATAAAAACAATAAAATCACACAAAAGAATAAAACCATTAACACTTTCAAAGTTACACAAGAAATTTAAAAAAATAAATAAATAAATGACAGCAGTGCATTACAAATGGAGATAAAATCCTTCAGTTGTATGCACAGGCAAACAGAACAGTCTTTAACCTGGATTTGAACATTGACAGAGTAGACGCCTCCCTCACATTTTCAGGGAGATTGTTCCAGATCTTAGCTGCATAGATCTGAAACGCAGCCTCCCCATGTTTGGTTCTCACTCTGGGCACCAGCAGGAGGCCAGTCCCTGTGCTCCTCAGAGTCCGGGCTGGTTCATATGACACCAACATGTCACTAATGTATTCTGGTGCAAGGCCATGGAGAGACTTGTACACAAGCAGAGCTGTTTTAAAATCTATTCTTTGAGCCACAGGAAGCCAGTGCAGAGACCTGAGGACCGGACTAATATGGTCATACTTCCTGGTCCCTGTCAGGACTCTAGCTGCTGCATTTTGGATGTACTGCAGCTGCTTACAGGTCTGTTTGGACAGACCTGTAAGCAGGCCATTGCAGTAGTCTAGCCTGCTGGAGACAAATGCGTGGACAAGAATCTCCAAGTCTGCCCTGGACACTATATTTCTGACTTTGGCAATGTTCTTCAGATGGTAAAAAGCTGTTGATGTTATTGATTTTATGTGGCTATTGAAATTTAGGTCTGAGTCCAGTATTACCCCCAAATTTCTGACCTTGTCTGAAGGAAGTAGGGAGAGAGACTGAAGTTGACAGATGACGCCCTCTCTTTGTTTCTGGGGACCAAAGACAATGATTTCGGTTTTGTCTGCATTTAGCTGGAGGAAATTATTTTGCATCCACTCACTGATCTGTTGGATACAGTGAAGGAGAAAATCCAGTGGTCCATGTTCTCCTGCAGTCAGTGAGACATAGATCTGAGTGTCGTCGGCGTAATTGTGGTAGGACACTTTGTTTCTTTGTATTAACTGACCTAACGGCAGCATGTAGAGATTAAATAGGAGAGGTCCCAGGATCGACCCCTGTGGTACTCCACAGGTCAGGGCCACATGATCTGAGACGCAGTCTCCAATCTCCACAAAGTACTTCCTATCCTCCAGGTAAGAGGTCATTTCACTGACCTTTACAGCTCCTTGTCATGCCCTACTGCTCGCCCCCTCCCCTCCTGTGCGTGGGTGGAGTTCTGGAGCTGCTCACCTGCCCCCTGATTGGCAATTATCATTCTACTTCAGCCGTGCTCTGTCCCAAGGTGCAAATGCAGGAAGGACTCAAACGCAGGATGCAAGAATCATTATTTAATAAAATAAAAGTCCAGAGAAAAACAAAACTCAAAATCCAAAAACGGAACTAGGAACGAAGACAATAAAGGACGTTGACAATAGCAACAAGAGGAGAGAAGCACAGGGTACATTTAGACACACACACACACACACACACACACAGGTGAAACACATCAGGGCGGGGCAGACAATCAAGACAGGGGAAACAGGACAGGAAGTCAAAATAAAACTATAACACAGATAACAGATGTCAAAATAAAACAAAAATAAAATCCACACCATGACACTCCTGTTACTAAAAACCATGGCCTTTAAGGACTGATCTGAATAGTCACTACACACCCTCAGAGCCAGTCAGGAGCTCAGACAACACACTGTTCTATCACAAGATTCAACATCAAATATTTCTCAATACTGTACACTAAAATGTTCAATCCACTTCTATATCCTACCCATAACCTTTTCTCCTCGGAAACAGAAATATTGTTTTCCCAGAATGTGTGAAATTAGGAGATCAACATAACAGCTCGTTGGCAAAGTATGTGAACTTTGAATTACTTATTTGGTCCTTTGTCAACAACAAAAACTATTTCTTATCCAAAATTGTACTACTCCAGGCAAGGAGTTGCACAGTTCATACACAAGACAAGCCAAAAGGGCTTCACAAAAAAAGGCAGGAAACATTATATCATAAATAATCAAAGAGCTTTAAAAAGAGGGAAGAAGCCTGTCTCACATTTTTCAGGAAGACTGTTCCAGATTTTAGTTGCATACGTTTTTGAATGCTGCCATGTTTTGTCCTGACTCTGGGCACCAGCAGGAGGCCAGTCCCTGTGAGTCCTCCTTGGTTCATATGGCACTAACATATCACAGATGTACTTTGGTGCGAGCCCATGACATCATTTTAATAGAGTGCAATGGTGTAGGTTTGGGCGATAGTAGCTCAGTTGGTAGAGCATTGGCCTTAAGGCCAGAAGGTTGTGGGTTCAATTCCCACCTCTGCACCTTCTCCACCGACTCCCACTGATGACTGCTGTCGTTGTGTCCTTGGGCAAGACACTTAACCCCACTTTGCCCAAAGCCCCCACTGAAAGATCAAGGCTATGCTCACACTCAGAGAGCAGCCGTCCTCCTGTGGACTCACCACCTGCAGAGGGTCAGTGAGGGGCTGGTGCTATGAGACTTGGGTGACATCTCTGACTGCCACCCCCCTGACCCAGAAATGGATTAAAGGGTAGAAAATGGATGGATGGATGGGTGTAGGTTTGGTTCCAATCTTGGTGGGGACATTCACTACGACCTGAGTCTACACCCATTGACACGGGGTCCAGAGTTTCTCCCCCAGAATTTGTTGTGTAATCACACACTATATTTGCAATAGTGTGTTGCCTTCTATACTAAACTCAGCTGTAGACTGAATGAGAAGCAGTTAAGGATTTTTTCTAATAGTTAAAACAAAATCAATTGGATCAGAGCTTCTGAGTTTTGTGTTGCGTTCATTCTATACTGACTTAAACCTAATCCAAATCTACATAATAGCCCTCACCTGAGGCTCTAACAGTTCAGGAACTGCTCTCGATACTTGAAATAAATCATGCTCTGATCTTTCAATTTCCTATAATAAATAAAAACAGAGGAGAAAATATTGAATTAGAATCTACAGTGAGTAGCTCACTACATTGTTTGACATATACAATCAATCTCTAAAAACAATTCATAGTCCCATGCATACCTACAAAATTCCAACCTCACCTGAT